ATATTTTAATTCAGCAACGCTGTAAATTGTTTACCTTTAAGCTGTTATACCGATTATGAATATGATCGCGAAGGATTGGATAAAGTTGAAAAGTGATCAAGAAAGAAGCTTGATGATTCGAAGAGCACAGACTGGACGTATAATTATTATTTGCTCCTACTGTGTAATGGGTTTAGCATGCTTCTTTGTCACAGTACTGCCTGCTTTTGGAATATCAATGAGACTCACTCCCAACATTACTGATCCAGGAAGGCCACTGCCTGTACAAACTCATTACATTTACGATATAACAAAAAGGCCACAGTACGAATTGACATTTATTAATCAAGCCATCAGTGTAGCTATCGCCATGACGGCCTATACTGCAATAGACAATTTTCTTAGTCTTCTGGTTTTTCATATATGCGGTCAGTTAGACATTCTCAAGAAATACTTGCAATATTTGGATAAAAACATAAATTATCACGAAGTTCTGAAATGCTGCATAGTAAAGCATATCCGTTTGCTTAGGTTTGTTTTCTGTAAGATATATAAGTATATAAAATCCATATTAAATATGTGATAGAATATATTTAATACATAAAACGTCTTTTATAGAGCTATTGATGTTATTGAAGATACATATAGCACAATACTTCTCTGCTTATTTGCATATTTTACGGTAACTTTTGCTTTCTATGGATTTCGGATGATTAGCGTAAGTATTTTGAAACTCAAAGTTTGGATAAGAAATCGTTTAAAAAAATTGACATGAAGTAATAAATACATTAGTATTAAATACATTCTGACACAAAATTACTATATTTACATGGCATATTATTATAAAGTTCCAAATTAGTGTTAATAAAAATAACTATGTTTTTTCATTTATTTCATAAATTAATTAGCTATTCGACGAAGGAAACGATATGTCCTTCGCTCACATTATATATTTTGTTTCTATTGTTTTTAATATATTTGCAAGCATGGGTTTATATTGCGTTCTCGGTGAAATTTTGATGTCCCAGGTTAGTTGTATATATATTTTTTTATGTGCAAATTGAATGTTGTACAATTAACTCTACAGTCTATAGACTATTATATGGTAGTGACCAATTTTTATTTAGATGTGTAACAATGTATTAGGTTGGCCAATAAATCCGTGCGGTTTTTTACTTATAAATGTTACTTATAAATAACCGCACGGACTTATTGGCCAACCTAATATATAATAATTGATATCTAAAAGTGCTTTTGGTATTTTCAAGTGCAATGAAATATATTATGCGGCATTTAATAATAAATGGTACACCCTAAATCGAAAAATTGCAGAAGATTTATTGTTCTTGATGACAAGAGGTTCTAAACCAATCTATCTGACTGTTGGAAAAATTTCTCCTGTTACAATGGCCACTTTTTGTAGCGTAAGATATTTTAATGTTTGACTATTGCATTTAAAAAAAGTTTGATGTCACTGCAGTTCTGTTAGAAGTCATTGTATAATGTACATACTACATATATTAATATATATAATGAAAATCTTTTATTTTAATCTATTTGTTTACAATCTTAAACTTTGCGATTATGTACCTAAGCTCATGCTATTAATTTAACACTGTTAATTTACTCTGTGACCATTAAAAAATATGTCTTTTAGTTATTAAAAACGTCCGTTGGTTATATATCCGTTTTGCATACGACAAAAAGTTGATTTAAAAAATAAGAAGAATGTAAAGTTTCTTTTTCAATATTATGCAACTTTTGATAGAATTATACTTAGGCTTAAGAAGTATGCCTGTATTAGTATTATTTGCAAATAAATAAATCTTATTGCATTATTTGAGTGGAGAATTCTATTAAGTAATAATAAAACTTGCAAACTTAACTAAAATTAAATAAATCATAATCTATGGATATCTTTTCTGATCATAATAAACATCCTGCATGCATAAAAATTTGGTTCATAATTTTAAATAGAAATATCTCGTATATCATTTATCAGATTTTTGCACATGCTTGTGATTATGTGTGTTTTATTTTTGAGTATTGTTTGTAATCGTGAATACTCTCGCGAGCGTGTCGATAGAAAAATACTTATGACAATTACTATTAAATTGTTGTAAAATATTACTATTATGATGTTTAAATACACTGTCTGGGCAGACAGATTACATAAGAGTTACGTCGTACAGACACATTTTCGTTATTAATTCTCTTTAAATTTGTGTACCCAAACCTTCCCTAAATAGCAATTGTATGCATTGTAATAAAATCGATCTCGCGTGCGTGGGAATATAGTGCACATGCATATACGTGTCATCACATCCACGCTTATTCACCTGTTGTTATCCAAGTTTCGTCAACGGCTACTTGGACGGACAAGAGAAAACGAGAAATGTTTTTAACTCTTTCGTTATTACGCCGACTACGGTCAATTTCTACAAAAAGATGTAACTACTACGAAAGGTATGAGTACTTACCGACTATATAGTCGCTCACAGCACAGCAACCGCTGTTTGTTAAAAAAACGTACATATGTGATGTTTTAATCAACCTTTCCATCATAATGACTAATTAAAATACGAGAGAAATTGCAAAAGTGTGGCTTTATGAAAATGATGCAGTGTCATATTCGTTTCTCACTTACATATGTATATTGGATATTAAATATTAAATATACAATCTATAAATTATGTGACAGGTTGTACTGAAAATTTACGTCTTCTTCTATTATTAAAATAATTGGCTATAAGCAATCTATACCTGATATTATTTACAACATTCTAAATCGATTAGTTTATGAGAATGTGACACATGTGTGCGAATATTCGCGTGGTAATGCAATGGTACG